ACAAAGGGAAGAGATGTTTGCTGTAGCAACTTTCAGTGGTATAACAGGACAGGTGTTAGAGTTGGGCGACACGGCTGAAAAATAAAATCTACCATTTTTTTTCAGATCAGATCTGATTTTAATAAGGCTTCATGACAGGTTTTTTTTTTTACTCAATTTGTTTTTTATCTGAAAAATAACTTAGAAACAGGAAATATTTTCAAAAATATTTTTTAATATGGTTTGAAAAGTCACTTTTTTAAAAATTCTTAATATAGATTCAAAATAAAATCATTTATTTTTCTGTTTTAAATCAAATGTTTTATTTTTTCTCTAATAAAGTTATAAACAAAATAGATTTTCAAAAAGTGGCTTTTTTAATCTGCATATGGATCAAAATCAAAATTTTTTGCACACCACATCCTATTTGTGATTTTAATCAATTTTCTTTCTAGAAAATAATTTACAAAAAAAACATTTTCAAAATGTGGCTTTCATTTCAGTCATCCCTTTTCGGAGTACAGGCAGTGATGAAACAAAGGAGAAACCTTCTGTCTCAAAGAGTGAAACATTGCTCACTAATTCATGTGAGTGAACTGAGCTCACCGAGTTCTGCTGGAAGCTCTGTGATGGGATTGGCTTCAAGTAGAAGATGCGTTAGACACCTGCATGATCAGAATGACAGATTATGGGATGGCTGAAAGCACAATGACTCTCCTCTACACAACAGTGATGTTCATTTGAGTTTATTTTAAATCAAAAAATAAACCACATAGCTGGTATCAAAAAATAATTGTCAAGCTTTAAGTAATTATGTTTGTATTTAAAGAGGAACAATCTAGTCTCAGTTATTACAGCAAGAAATGAGTGATTAGGTCTGAAATCTGGGTGTGGTGACAGACTCAGACCTCAACTTTCAGAAACACATAAAGAAAGTTACAAAGTCAGCCCTTTATCACCTGATGAACATTTTCAGAATTATAGGACTTATGACCCCACAATTCTATGCAAAAAGAGAAATTAATCCATTATACTGTTTTTATAGGTCTGAATAACAACATCAATTCTCCAACTGCAGCTGGCATTCTGACTAAAACCAGAAAGATAGAGCTCATCACTTCAGTTTAAAGTTGTTGTTTCAAACACTCAGGTCTTCTGGTTATTTTCTACTCTGCACCAGAACCTACCATGGAAAAGAAGCATTCATTTTTATGCTATTCTAATCTGGAACAAACTTACAGAAAATAGCAAAACAATGTTTATTAATAATAAATGGAATGGATCAACATATTTCATGCATATCTTCTTGATGGTGGTATTTGACAAAAATGTAATGTTTATTGGTTCTTTTTATATGATGTTTTAATGGTTTAAATCACTTTGTACTGCCTTGTTGTTGACATGTGCTTTACTTGTCTTAATACAACTGAACACATCATCAGATCATATCATCAAGATGGACGACCTGACGTTTGACAGTTTTTAAATAAATGCAACAAATAGTCCAGTGATTTCTAAAAACAAAAACTGATTTTAATTGTGATCCCCAACCCACACAAGAATAGAAATGTAAGCCTCCTCTATTGATAAGTGGGAGAACTAATTTACTTTCTGATGGGCAAGTGTTATAAGGTGACCAGATGTGCAGTGTTTAATACTTTTGCAAAAGACTGGCCGATTTAAATACAGTGTATGCAATAAGACCTGACCTGTGTGAGCCAATTTCAGCCGGAAGGGACGTAATGAGGTTCTTTCTGAGGTCCAGCCACTGCAGCTGGGGCAAACTGGAGAACAATGATCCAGAAATGCTGGAAATCAGATTTTCTTGCAGGCACAGACGCTGAGGAACAACGGGAATCCTGTTTAATAACGAGGCAACATGAAGCCGAGCATACACCTGCAGCTGCTGTGTGCTGGACTGACCGTGAGCAGGCTGTTTTTCAGCACACTGTCAGGAACACGAGTGAGATTGGACCCCTTGAGGGAGAGCGTGTCTGTGGAAGTGGGCTCCCTCTCTGGCTTGGTCTTCTCAAGAAGGCTTAATTTCCTCTCTAAGTTCACCTCAGTGTCTCCGAAGACAAAGCGACTCTGTGTTTCTTTCTCAAAGAAACCCGTTGAAGAAGTCCAGTTGAGGTCATTCTGGACCAACCCGGTTTCGAACAGATTTTTTTCTTGCGGCATTTATTAACCCATGAGTCGTGATTTTACGTGAGAAGCTAACCGTTTCCGCTTTCGCTAAAACTGGACACCTACCGGCTGAGTAGATGTCAGAAAGCGTCCCTGCTTTCCCAGTTACCGAGCTCCAACGACATAAAAAAAAACTTTAAATACTTTTAACCCCAAACGCTTTGTACGCATTTTAAAAGTAAGCTAACTTTTGACGGCGTCTCCCAAGATTCAAACTGTAACCACAGCAACAAGAGCCACAACAACGGCAGCCACTATGGAGGGCCAAAAGGGCCAAAAAACAAATAAATAAAAAAATACAGCGAAAACATAAACATAAAATCTCACCAAGTATTTAATGCATATGTCTCAATACACTTGAAATTAGTGTACAACTAACCTTTCAGCAAATTGTTTTAAGTGAAAAATTTCTTAAAATTGGTAAATAAGTTTTTCTTCCATTAGCAGTTTTGACTTGTAAAATAATTGAAATAATCTGTCAATGGAAATAGTACTTTTTCATCAATATTAAGGATTTACTTACATAAAACAAGCTCTTATATCTTGCTGAAAGCTTACTGACAGAAAAGAAAGTAACCTATTTGGGTCTACATTGTATTTGGGTTAAAAAATGTTGACAGGAAATTTGCAAATACCACTTAATAATTACTTGTTTTTGGAAGAATATAAGATTAATACCTAAACACCTACTATAAAGTCCTTGAGAAAAAGCAATCATTAATAAATAAATAAACAATGCTTATCCTGGTGGGTGCACAAGTAAAGCCTGGTGGCTCGCCAGGCTTACAGTACACTGGGGAAACCCTGCAATTTAAATATTAATTGTTCTACTCATATTTATTTAATAATTTTTATTAATGTTAAATTGCTACAGCTACATTTATTAAGATACTGCTTAACAACTGTATTTAATATTGTATCCAATAGACATTTCTCAATGAAAAACATATTTAAATCCCCCAGGTTACCACATTATAGTGTGAATAAATGGAAGAAAAAAAAACTTCTCCATTTCAAATGTCCTCTAAAATGGAATGTGGCATCATTTGGAGAGCAACAACTTCAACAAACAAACCCAAAGTGTAAATTAATAACCTTCTGGTCTTTTTTTTCAGTACTCCGGCTCCACCCATCCATATTCTAATCGGATTGTCAAATATTAATTCACTGCTCTGATGAAGGCCAGCGCCAGTTAACACCTTACATCGCGTTAAAGCCCACCTCTGCACTCTGTCTTTGTTCCTAGGGATCCAGAGGCTGCACATGGCTTTAAACAGAGGGTTGTTTTATGTGCTACGTGTGGCAGGCACGCCGACTTCTCCTGGATCCGTTCCTTCACAGTCAGCCGGTGGACGACACTGCCGTAAATAGTAACACTCCGGCACGGAAGGAGCTTAACTTGAGAGGTTGAGCTCAGGGACAGTGGGAACAAAAGAACAGACCATGATTTGGCTCCGTTAGTAGAAATGGAATATTAACCAGACCACCATATTGTGAGTGGCAGGTTTGCATTTGAAAGAAAAACAACAACAAATAAACAGATAAACTGGATTTTCTAAATATAAGAAACACCAACTTTTATTATAAACTGATTACAATTATTTAATTTTATCCAAAATATATTCACTATTGTTCCTGCACTAATCATCAGTAGGACAAAAATGTACAAAATCTGTAAATCAAAACTGACCAGCATAACATACTGTGCTTCATTAAATGTATCAAATGTGGCATTTGAAATTATACCAAACCACTTATCCGAATTAGATTTTGGTAATAACAATAACGACAGTGAATGTCATTATCAAGTAGGCGTCCCCTTTTGTTGGAGCTGAATCTGCCTGGAGTAGCACTCTGGCGTGTGAATGGTGCACACCCAGTAACTAAACCAGCAGTGGCAAGTGATGGTCAAGGTAACCAGAATAGTAACATGTAACTTCCGGTTATCTTTAAATAAAGGACCTGATTGCTCACAAAGTTAATAATAATAATAATAATAATAATAATAATAATAATAATAATAATAATAATAATAATAATAATAATAATAATAATAATGACAAATGCAATACACTGAAATTGTAAATAATAAAAAAACGTTTTAATAAATAAACAATTGAACACATTCCAATGAATGTGTTTACGTTTAAAATAAGTTCAACACCATCAAATAAATAAGCTTAAAAACAAGTTATAGTTGTTCCACAAGAAGGAAAAAACATTTTAAATAAAGCCAATATTATATTAATAATGATGATATCAACAATGGTAAGTGGAATGCAATCAAATTGTAGTTTTGAAGTTTCCCTCCACTAACAATAAATGGATATTATTTTTTTTTAAATGAACAAAAATTATAATTATAGCAAAATTTATTGAAATTTAAATGTAATACAATTATACAAAGTTATAGTCGTAGTGGCAATAATAATAATATCAATAATAATGAACATTGTAATGAAATTTCAGCTATGAGAGCAACAGTTTAAAATAAATCAAATAATAGTAATATTTGAATGATATTGCTACTACAATACCCCTCTTAGAAATAATCATACTAAATTAGAAATTAAAAATTATACAGTAATAAGCCGTAACAAAATACACTTTGTTTATTCCCTTGTAAATATCCACAATAATCTATCTTTATAAGCGTTGTTTTCCCAGTAAAAAGGGCTAAAAGCGTTCCTGTCGCAGCGACTTTTATTTTCTTAAGCAAATTGTCTCTGCTTCCGGTCTTTATTTGCAGCTTAACGCAGCTTCCACTGGCGGCAGCATCGGTGAGCTGGAAGCGTATTGGTCTGTCTGCGGAAGACAGCTGAGCGCTACAAACATCGAGTCACTGTTTGAACATCCAACTTACAGAACACTGTCAGATCCCAACACATCCACAAAACCCCCATCTCCTCCGAAAACACTTTTACCACCATCATCCTCATTCAGTCGCGCTGCTGCAGATTATCGGCTGAACAAAAAAAAAGGGGGTGGGGGACACGGACAGATAAAAAGAAAACATCCCCCAAACCAAACGGAGTCTGGTGAAATGCACGGCTGCCTGTTTCTTAAGGAGGAGGGTGTCCAACGCTGAGCTGTAGTTTCTCTCCAAGAGGCGAGGAATGCAATCTGAGCATCAATGTTTCACTGGGGCAAGTGGAAGAAGAGGATGGGAGCCAACAGTTCTTCAAAGAGACCAGTGTTCGACGAGAAGGAAGATGGTAAGCGCTGGAAAAGTAAAAACATTGATTAAGTTGAAGGAGTCATTTACATAATTAAGTGAAAAATGCATTTAAAGCCCAAACTGAGCTGTGAGGGTTAAAAACTGAGCACATTTGCTGTTGGACTTTTTCCTGTGTCTTGGTAAAATTATTTGCTTCCTTTTATATTCCTACGAGTTACATAACCCATTTTCGACGGGAAGCAACATTAGTTTTCTAGTTTGATCACTTCCTGAGAATAGAAAGTTTCTTAAAGTGTCGTTCTGATGCAGCTTTTCAAATCAGAGAAGACACTCAGGAAATCAATTAGGCCAGAATAAGACTCTTGATGTTGGATAAAATTAAGTAAAACAGCGGTTCAAGTGTCTGTGCATGAAATGTTAAACATCTACCAAGATCTAAGTACTCCTTTTAACCAACAAAGGTAATTACTATTATTAGTAAGTCACAAGATTAACCTGTTACATACATCACAACAAATAGCATAAAAATAATCTGAGATTAATCAGCGGAGGTTGTATTGGCATGTTTAAATTAGTAGTACCAGAATCCTGGACAGATGCACCAATCCGGCTTTTTGTTTCCAGCATTGATTTCTGTTTTTCTCTGTGGTCTGACCTGCAGATTTAAACAGTGACCAATTCTGATTCGGAAAGAATACAAGTGGTAAGAGATGGAGGGAGACAGAATCCATTGGAACAGGATGAAATTACATTAACCTGTCTGATGCATCCAAGCTTATGTCACTATTTAACTCGAAGAAGTTCAAGTATAAATCTAAAATTCACTTGATAATTATGTTGTTGCTTTCTTTGTTTTGTGTTGATCCTGGTTGGATTTACAGTATTTGTGTGTCATTGTAACCTTGTTTTATATAACCTTTGTTTGTTTTAACAAGACAAATCTCTCATTGTCCAGAGATGACTGATGAAAAATAACCTTTGGCTAATTCTGGTGCATTTACAGAAATGTTAATTGGTGAGCATTGTCCCTCCCAAATACATTTTAATTTCCAATGTACCCCTAACAAACCAGCAGGAAATTTTTTTATCTTTACTTTCTTGTCGACAAAAATCAATAAAAAAAATGTTGGCTTTTACCTGCTTTCTAAGTTTGTTTATTATAGAAAACCTAAATCGACAAGAGATAACTGGAAATTGGTTTCAGTCCAATAAAAGCCCAATTAGTACATCTCTGCTTTAAAAAAAATAATGAAAAGTTAAGTATTTCATTGTGAAATAAAACCAATATTTGCACAAATCAGATTGGTACATAGAGAAACCCCTAATTTGTTTGTTGACCAGTAAAGGCAGATCATTGCATCTTTAAAATGGTCCAATGGGGTTTAATGTAAAACAGACTTTTGTTTTTAGCTTCAAATCCTGTTATAATGCTATTCTCTGGAGTGTTGTTTTGATTCTTCTATGAATGTTTGAGAAATACTTGAATCACTGGGGGCAACCATAATGTTTCGTCTCACAAAGCTACACCTTGGAGTTTCTGCCGCACAGAGCATCATCCGCCTGCCACTCAGCACCTCCAGACTAGTGGCAGCAACAGTTAGCAAACACCTGGTGGAACTGCTGCATGTCTGCTGAGCGCAGCATATGATCCACAACGCTCTTAATAATGATCGTAAATGGCATTGTTGCCATTTACAATGTCTTAAAGACAGAGGCCAAATTCAGGGCGTCAGATAAGGCGATGATGCTAAGTCAAGTTTGTTTTAAGCTGTGTTTTATGTGTACTGCATTTTCATAACAATAAAAGGTAGCCCTGGGTGATATGACTTAAAAATAAAATCTAAAAATTTCTTGTAAAGAAATGATGAATGGCAGTAAATATTTTCTAAAACTTGCTTTTATTTCAATCATTCCTACTTGGTGTTTACTGGAATTCAAAGTCCAAGACTTTGGAAACACAAGGAATGCATTGGTGGAAAAACCCCCCCCAGATTTTCCAAAAATCAACTCTTCAAAAACAACAACAAAAAAAAACCCCAACTTTGATCAGATTATAAAATTGATTAATCGTCCAGACCTAGCAGAAGGTAAGTTATATTGTCCCAGAAATTATTACAATAGACGGCAATATTGTAATTTAACAACAATATATGTTATAATATAACAATAATCATTCAACTTAGACAAGGAAAACAGGCAAAAGCGCCAGGCACGACTTTTGTAAAGAAACAAAGAAAGACAGAGCAGAAACTACTTCTTACTGGGTATCAAATAGGCTGTATTGACACAAATTTTGCTGGATGATAAATTGCCCCACTAATTATAGTGATAAATGTTAATATTGATATTTTAACAATCTAAAATAATAACAACCAACTGAAACAATAACCAAAGTGGATTATAAAGTCTCTATAAACAAAAATATGAATCATCAAAATGTAAATTATCAAGCCCACTTTAATTTATTGTGTGGTTAATTGATACATTCCTTATTGCGACAGGCTCAGCTGTGCACCCAATAAGCTCAACTTCGCTGTATCTCTTAGATGAACAAAAAAAAAAAAAAAAAGGCCATGGCTGCAGAGGCAAAAACTCGGATAAATGAGGTCGTATCGCAGCAGGGATCCGGTCATATGTTTGTGTCTCTGTGCAACCTCTTGCAAGGATAACCCAATTAGGTCTACAGCAGTTCTGTCAGCGGCCTTGAAGGGAAATTGTCCAGCTCCACGGGTCAGGCAGGCTGCTGTCAAGGCAAGTATACGTAGAGAGAGCAGAGAGAGGAGGCAGGAAGGAGTGGCCCTCCAGCTTTAAGTGCTTTTCTCTGTACAGCAGCTGATCACAGCTGAATCTGGGATCTTTATGGTGTCGCTGATTCTGGATGATTAGAGGGGCAGCATTATGTATTTTCCGATCACATGGCGCCATTTCACACCAAAATCAAGTCAGCAGCAAAATGCAGCATATATTGAATATGACTTAAAGGGGCAGGATTATGTGAAATCGACTTTTTTGATCTTTACATCATGTTGTTAGGTTATTCCATAATCAAAAACATACCTGGAGTGTTGCCTTTGATTCTTTCATGCATGTCTGAGAAATCATTTTGTCTCCATGGCAACCATTCACCTGTCCAAAACTTCGGGTAGGACCTTGGTCCGCCTTCGAGCTGCAATTCTGAAGCGTCAGAGCTTCCACCTCAAATAGCACTCCTACCCTGAGAGACTTCCCCTCTTAGTTCCTTCAGACTAGCCAGCAGCAAATAGCAAACACCTGGCAGAACTGCACATCTGCTGAGCTCATCACAGGAGTTACTTCTCATTGCATCGCAGGTGTTTGCTAATTGCTGCAGCTCTGAGGAAGTGCTGCACCTCGAAGGCGGGGCTAAATCCAACCAGGTGTATTGCACACCTGAATGGTTACAATGGGGATTAAATGATTTCTCAAACATGCATGAAAGAATAAAAGCAACATTCCAGGTATGTTTTTGACGAGTGAATAACATTATAACGTGATGTAAAGCTCAGAAATCACGAGGAAACAAGGAGGTTAGGTTTATTTTCAAACATTACTCAGGCTGGTGCCACTCATGAATCACAAGCTCCATTATTATCTTAATCACTGCTGTTGCTTTAATCACCATCATTATGCATACAGATTGAGCTCGGATCTGCTGCGTGGTGCAAAAGTGCGTTTGATGTAATTATGCTGCTGGAATGTGGCCTACAGCGTGTGCAACAATAAAAACAGTCCCCTGCTCAGCCACTCTGTGAATCTAATGTGTGTGAGAGTGATCACCTTGAGCACGGTTTACCGCCTCGCTTCGCTTTCACCCCGCTTCCTGTTCAAAGAGCTGCTTGGAGCTGATAAGAGCTGGAGCGAACCGGGCCGACTCACCCATGCTGGATGTCATGGCTCCGAGAAACGGCTTCCCCACCCGGTTGGCTTCTTGGCCCAGTGATATTTGGTCAGGTTGATGTCCGGTTCAGCTGCCAGGTGCCTGCCTCCTCCTGGCTGTTGGAGGTGATTGGTAGAGGAAAGGCGGCGGCACCGACCCAGCTCCTGGTTCTGGTTGTGTCTCGGCTGCCGTCCATCCCAGGCTCACTTGGACCCACGGTGCTGTGTGCTGCATTGAGTCCACTCTGTTGGGTTCTAATGATAGGAGAGATTCCAGTTGGAAGATTGGAGCTCTGATTGGAAATTTAGAGTTTGATCACATGATCAGAAAACTGTTTCTGTCCGTCCATCCATCCATCCATCCATCCATCCATCCATCCATCCATCCATCCATCCATCCATCCATCCATCCATCCATCCATCCATCCATCATCCATCATCCATCCATCCATCCATCCATCCATCCATCCATCCATCCATCCATCCATCCATCCATCCATCCATCCATCCATCCATCCATCCATCCTAATGCTATTGCCTAACTGACTCTGGTGCAGTTTGTTCATCTGTCAAGAACAAAATGCTTGCGTCAGATTAACAAAATGAACTTTTAACTCAAGTAAAAAAGCTATAAGTAATAATGTGTTTCAGAATTCTGTGGTTATCTTTCACCTCCTAACTTTGACCTCTGACCTGTTACCTGTTAGTGACCAGAATCTCACCTGAGGAGGAAGTGATAAATGTCTGGGGTGATGTGATGAACGGTCCTTCATGTCTGACCAGGAGCTGAATTTAATTTCTATCCTCCAGACTCATGGTCAACAAAATACTCTCCCCAGCCTCATTTGAAGCACACATGATGTGAATTAGTAGCAGTTCTCAGCAGAGTGTGAAGAATCGACAAATGTCAACTTTAATTGAAAATGAGCTCAAACTTGTTATTTCTGATCCAAGGAAATTTGAAGCGTATGCTTGACGCCGGCGTTTGTGTGGTCTGTGTTTTCTATTATCTCTCTGTATCCATTTGATCATTTGTGTCGAGCCAAAGACAAATTTGCACTTCTGTGGACAGTAAACTTCTTATTTCGTGTGTAGGCGTTTGATGGTGCGAGTGCCTGGATGTCTGAATGTGTGCCTTGCTGC